CCATGATTTGTATAGCTGTTTTGTGCTTGTCCTATATGTATGTAAGCGAGTCAAAATAATGTAATAAAAGGGAACGGATTTGGTCACAACTTTTGTTTATGCAAATAAACTAGAGTATGTTCATGTAATTCTGGGTTTTGTTAGAGATTCGTGGGTGAGTGTTTGTGTGTGTATGTAACGCTCACGAGTTAACTGGCAATTATAGGTCTAAAAAACGACTCCAGCTTCTAAAGGTTTTCTCTTTTTACTCAATGGCTCTTCCTGTTGCTTTTCCTTCTTTCTCTCCCTCTAATTTTATTTAGCAGCCAGAGATAGTTCTTAGTTTCCTACATTCGTTCCTCCTATTCAGGGTCTTCTCTGTTTTCTTAAATTCAATTGACTTTCTGATCTCCTGCTTAGCTGTGAAGTCCCCATATCGACAAAACGTTGGGATTTGGACCAGTCTATCTGGTTTCTTGTAGTGGCCACATAAAGAGCCACCTAATATTTTTAAATCAGGCGGTTGTGTTTTGATAGCCTCCTTTGAATGGGTCGACAAGTCTCCCCCACATAAACACTACCACATGAATACAAAATCTTATAACAACCTGAGGGCGTCTAAAGATTCTCTAGAAGGCATGATCAGGAAAAGCGCTAGTATTTCTTTATAAATTATCTTGAAGCTTCATTTCCTCAGTAATTCGAACATCCTTCTTGAAAGCTTGCAGGATGGTAGCACTAGGAACCTGGAATAAAGAGTTGTTTAATTCCTTGTTTTGTCACAAATAATGGTTTCCTTTCACCCTATTTTTTAAGTTCGACATTTTTAAAAATTAATCCTAACGGATAATTGTTCTTAACTAAGCTTTCGCATAGACGCTTTAACTCCTGTTACTGATGATTTACGTCCGCTAGACGTAAACTACTTATTGTCACTGATTGCATTACTCCTACTTTAACACCATAAGTATGGTTAGAGAAGAAATTAAGAAGGAAACCTGCATTTGTAAGTTTCCTATATATATCTATACCCAGTTTGTTCCTTTCTTTAATAATTAGACATCTAAAAGGGGTAACTAATTGTCCTTTTCTAACTCCATAGTGAATTTTGTCGCCTTATCTACTCTACTAATTAACTCAAGGAAGTCTTCCCAACTCTCATTGTTATGCTGTCAGATAGCAAACTAATCAACGATATATCTAAAAAATAGTTTCGGAACTATGAATGACTCTTGAAAAAGCCGAATTTCCAATTAAGCAATGCAATTATTAGCTAAAACTGGAGACTAACACGATCCTATAGATAAGCTTCCGGTTTGCTCGTACAATTTACTATTAAAGATAAAATATGTACTATTCATTATTAAGTTCGTAAATCTCATTATTGACTCCTTGCTTATCTTATTTCTTGATATAATCTCTGTGTAGGCTAATCTTTCATAAAGCTAATGCTAAGGCATGTATGGCCCCACTCGACTTGTCTAGGTTGGAGTATTTTTGGACGTAAAATTTCCAATCAACTCGTGAATGTTGCATACACACACGAACATGCACCCACGAAGCTCTGACAAGAGCCAGAATTACATAATTATACACTAGTTTATTTAAATAGACAAATTTGTGACCAAATCCGCTCCCCTTCCTACATTTTTTTATGCGTTACATGCATATAGGACAAGCATAAAATAGCCAACCGAATCGTGGATTGCCCCATTAAGATCGCAGCTGGCCCCCTTTCTTGGCTTAGGTTTTTTGGCGATAGTGCGTGAATAATAGTCTCTAACTCTGACGATGTCCGTCACATGAGGGACGAAAGCTCAGCACGGAGTCATCGGGGTCGTGGGACGGTGAGCCGAGATCTACTTCGCACAATACAAAAGACAAAAGTTCAAGACAACTTTCCTTCGGTATCCGGTGAGGCTAATCTACGAAGCCGTTCCACCCACCTTCTCTAGCGAAATGAAAGGTATTGTAGTATTAGAACAGTTTTTAACATTTTTATATGGCTTTTGTGGAAACTGGATTAAATTATCAGATAAAGGAGCAAAGAAGGAAGTAGTAGGAAGGCCAGAAGGAACAGAAAGTGCATAAGATATTGGCATCCCAGAAAGGGTCTTGTCTGAGTCGTACTGCTTGATGAGGAATTGAAATCCTGGTTCGAGACTAGTCATGCTTCGGTACTATCCACAGGCAATAAGTTAAGAGTTGTAGCTGTATTGACGTGGCGATAAAGAACAACAGAAAAGCGCGGAAGTGGATCGCATTAAGAGGTGGTCACATAAGTTGAGTTCAGCTAGAAGCTCGTTTCACACTTAAGTAGCGCTGTAGGATCGACTCAGCTTTTTGGCATAAAAGCAATTAGTCGGATGCCTGTACGATGGTAGGTGCAGATCAGGCTATGACAGAGAGTTAAATCAACAGACCGAGTACAAAATATGAAATGTTCTTAAGAAAGTTTTTGAGGTAGAGCTATGGTGAAAGGATTGCTTTGTGAGATTTTACATTCATCATTAATCAAAAAAGCTCCTATCATTTTCTTAAGGGAGTTGTACCAGCTAGGCAGTAAGTGTACGCTAAACGTATCATGTGGTGTCGATCTGAGAAGTTTGAGGAGGATAAGTCTCACTGGGTCCTGCAGTTCACTAGATCGTTTCTTAAGGTTTAGGCGCATGGAACTGAATTAGAATAAGTTGAAATCATGGGTTTCATCTAATTCGGAATTTGGGCTTCATTTGTCTCTTTGACGAGTTGTTGTGTGGTGCTAAGAATGGCAAGACTCACTGACGATACCGACTACCACTCCAGAGAAACGTCTGGAAATCTACCACGTCAACGGTCCGACTTTGGAAATGATCATGCATACAATGGACTCCGGAGTAGGTGCGTTCCTCTAAGTCTTCCCACCAATATGACCAAGTTGCGAAAACAAGGTCAAATAACTTCTACATAAAGTTATGCTGAATTTAGAAGCCAATATGGAAGATAATTAGCCAAACCACTCTATATCTATCTATCTATCTATCTAGGTTTTTAATTTTATTTTGGCTTAATTGAGTCTATATAAGATAGAGCCGGATAGTTTTCTTGCCCTTATTGTAACGTGAGACTTTTACAGGAATGACACCTAGCTCTGATGATGTCCATCATATGATGGACGAAAACTCAGCCCGTTTTTACCCGAAACGAGGGGGGAAGTCTCGTGGACTGCATCAACCTAAACATCATATAAAAGCCGAATGGTTGCAGTACAACGGGATTCATCCTTCCTCATCTGGTGAGATCGACCAACGAATCTCTTCTTCATGCACTTTTATACGAAATGAAGGTCCCCCCAACAATTTTATCTCAGGAAATTCACCGAAAACCAGTTTCTCTTCGTATCTACATTAATTATATAACCAATTTTTTAATCAGGCCATTATGTACTAAGATTTTCAATCATAAGTAGATTGTTCACAAGGCAGAAGTATCAAAGCTCATGCCAAGGGTATCCATCAGAATTGTCATTGTAGTTCAATGTTTGCCGTCCCCACGATTGAAAATGACTGCAGTTCTTGTGGAAGCTGTGCCATTGATGTCGTAGTGACAACCTCAGTAAATAAAAAAACCAGAAAATGCATTACCTTAAATTACAAT